GCCGGACCTGCCGGAGATGTTGCTTTCACCAAGGGGACTCTGTCGTTGGCTGCGGAGCCCCTCGGGCCCGGTGGTGGATTCCCTCCTCTGCCGCCGCCGCCTCAGCTGCCCCCTTTGGGCTCCGGCCTGGGCACGGTGGATGAAGGTGACTCCCTGGATGGACCAGAATACGAGGAGGAAGAGGTGGCCATACCGCTGACCGCACCTCCAACTAACCAGTAAGTCGGACGTGCTGCCTGCCTGCCTGCCTCGGAGGGATTGTGGAAGCTGGCTCCGTGAAAGACGTGGGCCGGGAGGAGCAAACACAGACCGTGCTCCCGCGGCTGTCGTTGGTTTGAAAAGTTTTGAAGTTTCGGGTTCCATGTGTAGGGATTGAATTTGATCAGTCATCTTCCCTACTGGCACTGTCCCGGGCGTCCTCGTGTGTTTTATTGCTCTTCTGGGAAGACGTAAAGTTTTTCAGATGGGAAGCATGGGAAACTGTATCCAGTGAGAACCGGATATGGTTCGGCCCCTTCCTAATTGAGATAGTGTCCGGGATTCAGCAGAACTTGGCACTGTGCGCCCATGCTGCCTGCTGAAGCTAGACACTTAGTGAGAACCACGAGTACAGGTTTAAGTGGGTATTGCGTTAATGTAAGTTGGAAATTCATTGGTCAGAATGTTTTGTTTTTGCTGCAGTTGCAAATCCCTGCTTAGTGTCTGCTGGAAGCGTTGTGATTCAGGAAAAAACTAGATCATTTTAGAGAAGCAGGAGAGAATGGAGAGAAGTTCTGTGAGTTACAGGTGTGATTAAGGGACCCCACACTGAACACTAACTTGTTCCTTAAAATTATTTATTAGCATTTGTATTATACTTCTATACCGAGACATTATAAAAACGTTAAAATAAAACAGATTAATACTGCTCTCCGTACGTTGGTATTGATTGATACCATGTTCTGCTTGGAAATTAATTTTGGTAGTTTATTGTGACATAATCTGGGCACATGGCTTTCCCTTTTAAGTTGTCTCCTTGCCGTGTTCTTTTCATAAGTGGAGTGAGTATATATTTGTGAATGTGGGTTGATCTTACTGAGGGGAAAATGTTGAGATGGGAAATAGTAATAATAGACAAAACATGTTTTATGGAGCCTTCAAGTCAGTCATAATTGACCTTTAGAATTTCAACAACATTGGTGAATATTAGGAAAAAAGATTTGGTTCCTATATTGACACTTTCTGGACACTTCAGAAGTTTCCTTTGGGAGGGTCAGAGAAGCATTTTGTAATAGTAATCCATTCTTTATTCAAGCTGCATTAATGCTCTTAAGTGGGTGTTGTGATTTGGAAAAGCATTGGTCAGAATGCTTTGTGTTTGTTGCATTCACAAATTTCAATTTAGGTCTGTTTTGATACTTCCTAGCAATGGTGAAAGGATGTTATGTTACTTTTATGTTATTCAGCACAAAGTGTAATCTCTCTTTCTAATTTTAATCGAATTTATGTCTGTGTATTGCAGTCTGTCTCGGGAATGTTCTAGAAGTGTTAAAAAAAATTGGAGCATTGTGTGTATACCTTTTTGCTAAAACCATTTGTTTTAATTGTAGTAAAATGCAGTTTTTAATACTGAAAGAATGTGGTTTTGTGCCATTTCTGTAATTGAATTGATTTAGGCATATTTGGAATCTTGGTTTTTTTTTGGCACTTGGAGCTTTGGAAATTGTTATTCTATGAGTGTTTGCATTGTGTATGTGTGTGCACTGTGACAGTATCCCAGTATCCGCTGACAGGCCAGAAGAGGGCATCAGGCTCCCTGGAACTGGAGTTACAGGTGGCTGAGAGCCGCCCTGTGGGCGATGGGAACCAAACACTGCTCCTCTTCAGCAACAGCAATTGCTTCTAACTGCTGAGCCAGCTCTCCAGTCCCAGTATATTATTCTTCAATTATTTCCAGTAGACTCATTTATTTTATTCTTTAAGATGGGCTGTCACTCTAGTGTAGGATGGCTTGGAACTTGCCATGTCGCTCAAGCTGCCCTTGATCTGTGGTGATCCCGTGCAGCCTCAGTGCTGGGATAATGGCTTCAGCCATCATACTCACTTTCTAGGTTCTAATGGGTTTTTACAGAGGAGTTTAAACCTGAGAGCGAAATTGAATGGAAAAATACAGATTATTCTCACACTGAATTTTTAAAACTAAGCATGATTATTTGGGGAAAATTTTGGTTGTGAGAGATCTATTAGTGATTTTCATTATTTTAAAATATATTTAGAAATATAAAATTTGACTGAGCTCATATTCTGAAAAGTCCTCTATACTTCATATATATATATATTTATATATATATTTGTTATTTTTGAGATTGTAACTTAATTACACTTCTCCCTTCTCTTTCCTCTCTCCAAGCCCTCCCACATACGCCTCCCTGACATCCTTCAAATTCATAGCCTCTTCTTCATTGTTACTACATGCATATACATATTTGTATACATGTATATTTCTGAATATAACCTGTTGAGTCATATCTAGCTTTCATAATTTTTTTAGTGCTGTGTATTAAACCCAGGGCTTTACAGTTGTTAGACAAATTCTTTATCACCAAACCATATCCCTAGGCAAATTTTCTAGTATGTTTTTAAAATTTATCACTAATTATGAAAATTCACCCCTTTCTTTCTTTTTAAAAGTAAGATTTCTTCTTCATGACATAATTTAAGTGAGTTGTAGGGAAGCTCAGCTCCATGCTCATGTCAGGAGACTCAGTCCCCTCTTGTCTAGTGCAGCACTCAAGATCGTGGAGGTCAAACGACCCTTTCACAGGGGTCGCCTAAGACCATCACAAAACACAGCTATTTACATTCCATTTATACCAGTAGCAAAATTACAGTTAGGAAGTAGCAACAAAAATAGTTTTATGGTTGGGGGTGACCACACAATAGGAACAGTGTTAGAGGGTCTTAGCATTAGAAAGGTCGAGGACCACTGTACTAATGCTTCCATCATCATCTTTTCAGTTTGATGTGTGTGTGAGTGTGTGAGTATGTGTGTGAGTGTGCTCACGTATGTGAGGATGTTCGTGCTTGTGTGTGTATGGTACAGAATAGGCTGTCAGGTGTTCTTTGTAACTTTTCATCCTTATTTCTTTGAAGCCAGGTCTCTCCCTAAACCTTGAGATCAAATTTATTTTGGCTAGGCTAGTGGCCAGCACATTTACGTATTGTGTTCCAATAAATAAATAGTTCCCTCAAATAACAATATAACTTTCTTATCATAAAAGAAAATTCTGCCTACTAATTCTTTTGGTATAGGGATACCCTTATTAGTAGCTGGTTATTTTATGATTACTTAATGCTTTTTTTTTTTTTTTTTTTTTTTTTTTTTAAATCAAGATCTCAAGATGTTGCCCAAGTTGAGCATGAATTTTTGGTCTTAAGTAATCATCCTGAATGAGCATCCTGACTAGCTGGGATTATAGGACTGGGCACTTCACTGGCTAAAAAAAACCTATTTTACTTTTTTGTTTATTTACTTATTTGAGATAAGTTTTTGTACTTCAGGCTGGTCTAGGGCTAGAATCCTTCTGTTGCAAGTATTGGGATTGTAGTTGTGCATTACATGCTGAGCTCAAATACTGCTTTAGAACAGGGCTTGTTCAACTTTTTCTACTTTGAACCTTTTTGCCCAGTTTTTACAAAGGTGTCAAACATAAAATAAGCATATAAATCAAACAGTTACTGATAATAAGTCATAAAGAAATGTATTGTCAACAGTTCTTTGATGTATGTATAATTATTAAAGATAAGCAAATTGCAAATTAAAATAGATTTATTTTTATCTAAGGAATTAAATCTTGGCTGAATATTTGATACTGGTTTTATAGTTGTCAATGCTGAGCATGTTTCTAGTGGGAGAGTTAGGGTAGCAGAAAAGGCAAGTACAAATTGCATCCATAAGCATAACATGATGAACTACCTTTCAGCTGTACATACTACAATAGATTTTTTTTAGCTACTGTTGTCTGATATTATACTGCATATCACTGTAGGTTATGGTGCATTGTTTGAATGTGTACTTAGAGGATAGGTGTGGTGCCTTGGAATCACATGCAATGTGTTTTGTTTTGGAGTAAGTTAAAAACAGTTATTGTAAGGTAACAGCTTAATTTTTGTATGTCTTCACACATTCGACAGGATTTGAGGTATTTAGGTGATATGTTGTATTTTTTTAATGAGTTAAAAATGAACATCACGGGGCAAAGAGATGAGGGATTGTTCAGAGAATATTAAAAATGCGTCTATAGAGTGCCGGGTAGTGGTGTCGCATGCCTTTAATCCCAGCACTCGGGAGGCAGAGCCAGGCGGATCTTTGTGAGTTCGAGGCCAGCCTGGTCTACAGAGCGAGATCCAGGAAAGGCGCAAAGCTACACAGAGAAACCCTGTCTCGAAAAACCAAAAAAAAAAAAAAAAAAATTAGTCTATAGAGATATATAGGTAGATATATAGGTAACCTTTAAAGATTCAGAGTGTAGTTGTTGAAGAATTAAAATGCTGCAAGTAAATGGAAGAATGACATTAAAATTTCTTAGCATGATCTTGTTGGAAAGTTTGATGGTTACCTTTTATAGTATGGAGGGATGATCATTGTATTCATGATACAATGGTCATATTAATGACAGGGAACCCTTTTCTCAGAAGCAGACCCTGAGTAGCTTCTTACGTTCACATAATTAGATAATGGTAGATCTGAGATTCTTACACATTTTCAGATATATTTAGATTCAGAAAATATTCATAATTGTTGGCTTCACCTTCTGATTGGGATTACAGGTGGGTACCATCATGCCTGGCTCACAGATGTTCTTACTTAATTTTTATAACTGTACAATGAAAGTTGATGCCACACTAATATGTAATATCGGGAAAACTTGAATGATGGAGAAAACACAGATTATTTCTTATCCAAAATAATTGGGGCAAGTATTTCAAATTTCAATTTGTCAAAATCTGGAATGTATGTGTGTACTTTATCAATTCAACTAGATATCCTGAATTTGAATCCATTTATAATTTTGGTGTTTAGATTAGGGACAATCAATCTGTACTTTGTAATTGGACTTTTTGTTTGGGACTGTTGGCTCCCCAATAATGGCTCCCCAATAAAGTCCCCAACAGAGACTTTTTATTGATTATGAAAGCTCAGCCCATAGCTTAGGTTTGTTTTTAACTAGTTCTTATA